GAATTAGTGTGGGTGGGAGTTAGCACAGTGCTCTTGGAGTGTAACTTGGGAACCCCTGGCCAAAATCAGTATTTATCATCTACTTTTTTTTGTCTTGTATATGTTTAATAAACAGGAACCATGGTACTTCAGCTATTTTGGCACAGTTAAGGAATCTATGGAAGAAATGCTGGGAACACTTAAAGCTGGTATAAAAACACTTCCTTCAGCATTACTCATTTCAGTAAGGGGAAGAGAAATCTGCTTTACCAGTTTAAGCTACCAGACACAGCCAGTACGCGTGGAGGTAACACCAGTAGAAATACAACAAGACGACTCTCTCTGTAGTTTGACATTGCCTTTTCCATGTGAAATCAGATTTTTGTTCCTCTGTGTTTGCTCTTTACAATCCCTTTATACACACGTGGTCATGTAATACTGATGTTTGGGTAAGGTTGGAACTATGGACTGAACTTATAAAGTTAGGAACTTCACTGAATCCCTGCTTTCTCCAGTTGGAGAGAAAAAATAAATTGGATTTCCTGTTGTAGTGTTTTAAATTATTTTTTTCCCTCCAGAATGAATACAGCAATAGAAAACTGTTGAAATCCTGTCGTCAGATGTGTGCGTTCAGGCTTACTTTCTCAGTGCATTTTGTGTGTGTGTGTGTTTTAGTGTAAGGAGCATTTTACTAAGAATCAAAGCAGCGTTGTTTCTTCTAACAACTTCAATTTTTGAAATGTTAGCACACTAAATAAGTTTCATAATTGCACTCTGAATTTTAGAGACAGTTCCTGCATGCAGTTAATATGAATTGTCATCTTCCCTGTTTCTGATAAATTCAGATGCAATAATTCACTTCAATATTCTGTTTTTATATTTAAAAGGTATCTGTATGAAGCAAAAAAGTTGTTCTATATGGAGCAAAAAGTTAGATTGTAATCTAAAACATGACTATTGGTAGGTAGAAGGAGATATTTTGAAGGAGAGAATTTATTTAGTACCAGTGTTGTGGTTGGCACTACATAGTACACAAAAATAGATCATGCTAGAACTAGTTTATTGTCTGTTTTGGTGAAATACAGATTTATGGAAGGAAGGTCATTTCTTGGAAACAGGAGTTTTAAAATTTGTCTTTGTGTGTGCAGGAATCTACTCTGGTTTCCCCACTAGTTGGTTGTAAATGGAGTAATAATTTTTATCCCCCGTGTCTCCCTTATGCCATTACGTTTATCCTCATGAACGCGCATGTTCCAGGAACAATTTGATTGATGCAGTAGCGTAGGTGGCTCGTGCAGCACTTGTGTGGAAGGACCATAGTCTCTGTGATTTCTCACCGTTTTCAGGAGGGATGCAGCGGTCACTTCATCCAGCTGTGGCTGAAGCGGCCTCGCTGCTCCTGGTGCCCCAGTAGGTCCTGGGCTGCTTGTCCTTCTGTGGAGTTTGCAGAGGAGAAGGCTCTCATGCCTTCGCTGGTTCCCCTGGACCCCAGTTATGCCTAAAATTGGCCAGCAGTGTCATCTATGTGGTGTGTTTTTAGTTCAGAGACTGCCTTTGTCAGACTTGTGCTTGCCATCAGGACTTTTTCACTTTCCAGCATGACTGGGGCACGTTCGGTTACAAGAACTCCTTCATGTCCACAGCAACATTTGTTTGTTCTTGGAATATCCTAAACCCCCCATCAGGACCCCTGAACTGATCCGGACCATTTTGACGTGTAGGAATACAAGTACCAGTGCTTGGCTAGAGCATTTCAAGCCTTGTGAACTTATTTATGAGAGGAAATGGCCTCAAGTTGTGCCAGGGGAGGGTTAGATTGAATACCAAGACAAATGTCTTTACTGAAAAGAGTGGTCAAGCACTGGAAGGAGCTGCCCAGGAAAGTGGTGGAGTCACCATCCCTGGAGGTGTTCAAAAAATGTGTAGACATGGCACTTGGGGACATGGTTTAGTGGGCATGTTGGGGTTGGGTTGGCGGTTGGACTTGATCTTAGGGGGCTTTTCCAACCTTCATGATTCGATGATTCTGTATTTGGGGTGGTCCATATGTTGGGGCCTTGCCCATGGAATATCTTGGTGGCACGAGAGCCCTGCGCTGCCTTCTGTGGCGTGGGCAAGAGGTGTTTTGGGCACTGTATGTCTCCTGCTCTGTGGGCTCTCAGTCTCCTCTGTGCTGGCTCTGCTGAGGAGCCCAGATGTGTGGGGTCCATGGTGACCTGTCCTGTTCCTGAAAGCCAACCAAAAAATGCAGAGAAAAATGCACTGCAATCCAGAAAACTCCCCTTCATGGAGAAAAATGGGGGGTGGGGGTGGGGGGGAGATACAGGACTGTTTTGTCATCCAGGAAAACAAAATGTCAGTAGTTCATCTTTGGCAAACTTGCGGAGAAACAAATGAAGGCTGAATCTGTGACTGGTGCGGGCCAGAGTCTGTGTCAGTCTGCATTGCTCGCTGGGACTGTGTGCGCACTCAAAAAGGAGGTGCTCCATGCATGTACATCTTCCTCCTGTTTTCAAAGTCGTTTCAGCAGCTGATGATGCTTCAGAACCCATTTTAAAAATCTTTCTCTGGACTTCTTGGAGAGGAGGGGATCATACAGCCAAAGACTGGGGGAATGCATTGCACCCGATAGTTGTAGTGTAATAATCCAGATGTAGTCCCAAAATCCTGCCTGAAACTGGTTGTTCTGCTGCCAGATTTGCTTTGTTTCTGTCGTGCCGGATGTTGTGCAGCTCTTTTGTCTCTCACTTTTTATCTGATTAATATTAATGTGTGTACAAGCAAGCAGAAGAAGGAGCATTGTGGATTGAATTTGGATTTGTTCAACCTTACTGTTTCTAAACTGAAAAAGCTCTGAACTAGTTAACATTTTTTCAGTGTCTCTGTCTATGGGATGCATTTTAGGTCGATCATCTGCCGTTTGTATTGCTCCTTTTACAAAAATTTCAGTGTAATACTTAACTTTGAGTGCAACTGCCCAACTAGATGAGATAGAAAATTCTCATTTAGTGCCAGAGTGAAGTGCATTAGCCGTGTTGGCAATACTGTAGAAGCAGATTGTTCTTAAAACTATTTATTTTTCTTCCTTGCTATAGGGGTCAAACTCCTGCTGATTCTGCTGAATCTGACTTTCAAGTGCTTGAAATTGCTCGGAAACTGGAGATGTATGGCATCAGGTTCCACCTTGCATCAGACCGAGAGGGCACCAAAATTAATCTGGCTGTGTCGCACATGGGTGTGCTGGTATTCCAGGTAAGGTGGAGAGAGAAGTCTCTCATTATAACTTCAGGCGTCTCTGGTGATTTTAAAACTTAGCATGCTTTTATGGTCAAGGGAGTGTCATTTAAGCCCCCAAAATATTGTCTGGTGCAGTTTGCCCTTGTTGGTGCAAGAGAGAAGAACATCAAAGCCCCACAAAACCATTAGTGACAGTGAATTAGAAGGGGTTTTGTTGCCTGTTTGGAAGTGATGTATGTGTTCAGAGAACATCATCAATTCAGTTGGTACAGGTCTGTAATCCTAGAATTTCACCTCAGTTTCCCTTGTTTTAATGTTTAGTGTATTTTTGCTGGGTTAACGCTCTTCTTAGTGTATAGAAGTGCAGATTCATAGGAGCGATCGGACTGATTAGAATTGCTCCTTTTCGTCATATCAAATAAGCAACTCGATGATCAGAGTTCTGTTTATGAATGCAATCATATTGTTTTCCTCCCCTCAAAGCACACAGGCAGCCAACCTACTCAATTATTTCCACTTGGGCACTCATTTTCTGTTTATTTTGTGTCTTACCTGTTTTTTGTTATGATGGGGCAGCTTCCCTTTGGAGGTGCTTCAGCTGCTGCAGTCCTACAGTTCCTCTTAGTCCTCCCCAGTGGCCTCTCAGTCACTGCAGTTTCCATCATTTCAGCTCATTTGGGTCTTTCTCTTGAAGTGCCATTTTTCGTCTCCTTTTGCTCGTAGAGGGCGACAGCAGAATTGCTGGGGGGTGCTGATGGGGTCCTTCCCTGATGCTTTGGGAGTCAGTGCTGTGGGGCTGATGTGCAAAGGGAAAGGAAAGTGTGTTAAGTAGAATGAAACCCTCATCTTGCTTGTACCATAAAGTGTCCTAACTATTGATGGGGTTAAAATGTTCCTTTCCCATCCGGTTTTCTATGTTTTCATTCAGTTTTTTAGCGTCTGCGCAGACAGACATCGTGCCCTTGCAGCTGTCCCTATGCTGAAAGATGAAATTGTTTAAGAGAATACTGTCACCGGGAATAAAATTTCAGCAGAATGGGTTTGGGGGTGGTGTGTGTGCACAGGCACGTGTCTGTGCACCCTCAGCAGAGTTTTGTGTGCTGCTCTTACTTCTGAAACTTTTGCCAACTCTTAACTGTTACTGTTTTAATTCAGGGTAATACGAAAATCAACACCTTCAACTGGTCGAAGGTCCGTAAACTGAGCTTCAAGAGGAAAAGATTCCTTATTAAACTCCACCCAGAGGTCTGTGTAAGTTTTACTGTCATAGTGGGCTGGTCAGTTTTGGAAAAAAAACCAACCAAACTTAATTTTATTATGAAAAATTCTAGAGTTTTTAATTTTATAGCACAGCTTCAGTGGTGGGGTAGGCTTAGCTTCATCATTCCAAGTCAAAATCTTTCCTTTCTCACCCCGTGTCTGTCATCTTAGATTTTTAGGTTTTGTGTATCAGCCTCAGCTTATCCTTGACATAGGCATATACATGGGTAAACCTAAGACAGGAAAAAAAAAACCAAATACCAAGTATTTGGTGCATCCTGTCTCAGTAATTTTACTCTGAAAAAGTTGCATTTACAATTTCCCTTGGACATAAGCGGAGGTTAACGCTGTCATGATGTCTCTCATCCGTTATCATTTCAATGACCTAAGGTAACTTAAGCATTGAAATAGTAACTCTCTGCTGTTTGGGTAAAAGTGTGAATTGAATTAAAATGGGGAAAAAAAAAGTGTGGCTGAAATATAATTCTGTGTATCAAGGGAACCTGAAGCACAACACCCAGTCTGTGTGTGTAGTAATGTGTCTCACAGAGATTCATGCAATAGCTGTACTCTGACATACGCAGTATTTTCCAGTCTCATCTAAATCTCAGGGAGTAAGACAAGCATCAGAACTTCTACGGAAAATGTATTTTTAAGTTGCTACTATTTCACTTAAATATTTTAATTTCTTTCAAATTACTAACTTAATGGTCCGTATTTCTTAAGGTGAATTATACTGAGCATGTTTCTAAAGTCAAGTGCGTTTTAAACATTTTTACACTGCCAACGTAAAGAAATATTTTTGAAAGCTATTAAATTATTTCAACTGCATTCAGAATAACTTCCATTGCCTCAAGGTGTATGAGAAGTGACTTAGCAAAATACAGTCTCCCACTGGAGTTCAGTCATTTTGTTGGCATGTATTTGTACTTTCCTTATCTCCTCCACTGCCATTTTATGTGCTACTTAGCTTTTGTGTTTTGTTCCCAGGGCCCGTATCAAGATACACTGGAGTTTCTTTTGGGAAGTAGGGATGAGTGTAAAAACTTCTGGAAAATCTGTGTTGAATATCACACGTTCTTTAGGCTCTTTGATCAGCCAAAGCCAAAGGCTAAAGCAGTGTTCTTCACCAGAGGGTCATCATTCAGATACAGGTAGGGAGAAACGCAGCAGATTTATTAAAGCTGAATTCTTTATATCTTAGAAAATGAGATCAAAAGGAAGAAGCATTCTGAAGTCATTCCAGCTGTAATTCTCACCCGCTGCATTTCATAACGTTTGTACTTTTGTGGGTTCACAGTGGACGAACACAGAAGCAACTAGTGGATTATATTAAGGACAGTGGGATGAAGAAAACCCCGTATGAAAGGTAGGCACAAGTAATTTTATAAGATGAAATGTAGTTGAGACTTCCCCAGTGCCCTTATTTCCCGAATTTCGGTGTTTTTAAATGATGCTTGGAGGGATGGTCGTTTGCTGACTTCTCAGTTACTAAGGTCTAACTCAAATTTAAGGTAACTAAACTCAATTTAAGAGATTTATAATTTTGCGATAATTTAAGAATCTTAGGAAATTTTCAGTGTAACTTTTTAGTGTTCGTTGACAGTGTGGGACTTGGCCATCTAAGAGCTCAGTATCTTTTGAAGATTCACTGGAATTAGTGAGGGCTTGTCTGTGTGTCACCGTAGCTCTATAAGCAGCCGGTGGCAGAGCACATAATTGAACTTGGGGTCTGCAAGTCTGAAATGATGGCCTTACGTACTCATTCATTTCTAATAAATAAAGGAAGAATGTGCATTTTCATTATAAAATTGCCATATACTTACCTGACTATGAACCCATCCTGTCTGTGTGTGGTGAAACACCTCATGTACTTTCATCTAAAAATAATAGGAGCTTAATAGGAATTTTTAGATGTTCGCATTAATCTAGTATTAATAAATATTTTTAATTTCTTGGACTCCACTGGAGCTCCTTTTCTATATGAATGATTGATTTTCTAGTAAGTTATTGACACAGAATGAATCTAACCATGAATGTGATGCTGGATACCACTTTTTGGGGTGTAACATATAGAACTTTATATGCCAGAAATTATATGGTTGACTGAATTGTAAGTTGTTTGTAAAATGGTTACAGATCAACTCATTCTGCTTTTGAAGCCATTAATTTGTAGATGTTTATACTGATGACGAAGGAAGAAGTTAATCTAAATGTGCTATTTAGTCTAATCTTCTGCCCCAAGTTGCTCTTGAGTTCTCCTTCAGTGGTACGAATGATCTGGGTCTTTATTCAATTTTCTTTATGCTTCTTACTCCTGATTAATTTACAACTCTTGTGACTTTAAAAATCTTAGTGATTAACAGAATGTGGTAAAATACAGCTTGAGACATTTATGTTGGGTACTAGGATGGAAATAGCTGAATGGGGAAGGGAGAAAGCTCCTTCATGTCTTGGAAACTCACAGGATGCTCTCTTCTCTGCAGGAGACACAGCAAAGCCAGGGCATCCACACGCACTTCGAATGCTGACGTGCCAAAACAGGTCAGTTCTGTGGCACTCTTGGTATTGCAGTCAAGGAAGCTGACAAACAGCTTTCCAAAATGACGATGAATAACGGTGATCCGAGTGAACTCTTCATCTGGAACTGTGTTTCCGTGTTTCTGATGCACGGTTTGTATCAGTTTTGATAGCTGTAGCCAGTGGAGTCTACAGGGGGTAGCATTTTGCTTTTCACAGTTCAGCTTAACAGAAAAGAAGATGTCATGCTTTCTAGTATGTTATTATTTCAGGGGATTAGTTTATCTTCAGGTACTTCTAACTGCTCTCTGTGGAAGTCCTGAGTTCATTCTATAGATGCCTTCTGCAGTCAGGTCAAGAAACAGAGTTTCACCGATAGGCTTGCTTTACATGTGGGAAGTTAAGGAAGCATCACATGATTTTGCTGTCATCTTTTTGTGTTACTTTCCCTTGTGAGTCCTTTTTCAGTAGAGGCTATAAAATACAGAGATAAAACTTATCACCCAGTTATCAGAACTCAGGAAAAAAGGTCTTGCCTCTTACTGGGGATGCTGGATCCGTTTCTGTACCCAGTGTTTTGTTTGCTGTAAAGAGAGCTCTTTTGAAGCATGTATTCCTTCTGCATCAGGGCCTGGTTATTGTGTTCGTTTTGATGCATTATAAAAATCTTTTTATCTGTTGTTTCTACCTTTTTTCCCTCCTAGAGTGTCCCATTCACTGAGGGCTTGAGAACCCCGGGGTCTCCTGCCTCAGCAGCTGCCCCCTTCCACTCAGTTCACACATCGGCCACTCCTGCTCCTGTCCTGCCCATCTTTGCAGAAACCAGCCCTTCCTCTTTGGACCCCCGAGCACCGTACACACGGATTCCAGAAAAAACTACTCCAGCGCCAGGAGAAGAAGCAGGGAGGAAGCTGATGCAGCAGCCTGGATCTCCCATGCTCCAAGGTGTTGGGTTTGATAGTGTTGCAGGAAACTGTAACCCTGCTTGTCCTGTCATTGAGAGTGGTTGTGGTTTAGATCTAGATGTAGAGAAGAGCAGTAAGGAGAGCAGGGTTGCTATATGTAAAAATGACAATGATGAGGATGACTTTACCACAGGTGTTTTCCTTGCTGAACAAGAGCATCAGCATGGCAGTCGGGGTGCCCCTCTTTTCACATTGACAAATTCGCAGTTACAGGTGTCAGAGGAATTTATTGATGATGACCCAGCAGAAATGTCCTTTTTTGCTGGGGGCTCTGAGGCGTTTTCGTATGTGTACAGTGGTTTAGAGTTAAAGGACTCTGATTTTTCTCAGTGTGTGTCAGAGTCGCCTGGCTTAACTACAGATGCCCTTCAGCAAAACATGGTCTCTTCTCAGTCAAGCCCTGACAGGTACTCAACCGAAGCAGTAGATATGAACATGGAAGATGAGTTTGAATTTGAAGAAGGGAGCGATTTCAATGGCAATGAGAGACCATCAGATACCTCAGAGCTGTTTGAGGTGAAGGCTCAAGCGAGTAGGATGCAAAGCCTCCTGAGCCCATCCGAAACAAGTTCACTCATCAACAACCGCTCCGAGAGCAGCTCCCTCAATAATTTGCCACTGAACGGGACGTCCTCCCTGCACGCGTACAGCTCCACCAACCATTCAGAGGCCAGCTCCATGGTGAACTTCCCCGCCTACTCGGTCCGCTCCGAGTCTAGCTCAGCCTTTCAGTTCACAGACATCATCGACCAGCTGGAGCAGCTGAGCTATCCGCCTACCACCACGGAAGACTCCAGCAGCACGGACACGGACTCCTGGGACTCCGAAACCGCTGCGCCACTGGATGTAAACCTTTTCTTTAGTAACCCTTTTGCTCAAGCCACCGGTGAGAACTTTGCTTTTGACTTTCAGAATAATTTAAAAAATCTCACGCAGGAAGACTGGACAGAGAAGGCACACGTCAATTGATTGACTCTTGATTTTTGTGATGGGTCCTTCTATGCTGTTCAGGCTTAGAAGTCAAAAGGGTGTGGTGTCAGTCACTTGAAGCAAAAAACTTTAATCCAGTGGCTGGATTTTAAATCACATAATGCAGCTGATTTTTTAATTTTTTTTAATGTACCTCTTCAGTTCCCCTCAAAGCATCCTAGCTTTGGTGCTGCGTGACATGCATCACACTGCATCCAGAATGTGTCGTAATGGGCTACGATGTTTGCAAAGTGCTGCATTTAGGAAAAACCACTGATTTCAGAGACGTTAAGTATCATCAGCTGGCTCATGCAGACATCACAAATCACACTACACCGAAGGATTACTTTGGCTATAAACATATCTGTAAGAGACTGGTATCATATGCTGTTCGTCCAACACCCAGATGCAACAGTCACTTTTGCACGTACTCGCTAACAAGCAGCCGCATCCAGTAAATTACATTTTCCTGCACTGAGAGTCCCAAACAGAGTTTTGGGTTTGGTTTTTTTGTTTCCACAATCAAAAAAAAATAGACAATCTTCAAATCAGTTATGAAGGAAAGTTTTAAAATATCAACCTATGCAACATGTCTGTGGTGTACATCAAAGAGTAAATAACCTATGTGGTAGTTTAGAAGAGGGAATGCGTACACAATCAAAACCAGCAGTTGCCAAAACTTCTTGTGAAGACAATCATTGTATTTTCTGACTTTGAAGTGCCTTCAGCAGCCCAGCAACAAACAAGTGCCCTTTTGCTTCGCAGCAGTTTGGAGATATATGCATAGACTGTAAAAGCACTTAATCCCCGTTGCATTTTTGTCTCAACTTCTTTTTCTTTATTTAATCACTCTGCATAAGAATGCTCAGAAATGAATTCATAAGTCTCCTTTAGCTGTGGAAGACGGGTGGTGGTAAACCCAGTGGTAGCTTGAACTTTTTCTTTAAAATATCAGCTGTATTCAGAAAAATACCATAATCTTTCTGCGAAATTGAGACGTTAGGAGGAGTGAATACTGTAGAAGCAGTTAGAGCTTCACTGCTTTTGTAGCTTGTTTTAGTCAGGTGAATTTGACGTGAGACTTGGTCTGTAAGGTTGAAAGTGTAATTGAAAAGGCAGTGACTGAACTGGTCACATCTGATTTGGCAACGTTTATTGAGGTGAAACAGTAAAAGTTGTGAAATGTCCTTGCTGTCTGCCAACGGGATGGATTAGAGGGGTGAAATTCCGAGCTTCAGCTCCTAATAGCATTTTTTAGAGTATTTTGCTTTTGTGCGAGCAAGAATGTGAAATCTGTAAAGCCTGACTGCATCATTGTGATGGAACGTGTCGTCTCCTTCAGCCGCTGGGTTTTGGGGTTCCCTGCTGTGCAGTTTTGAGCCCTTTGCTGTTTCCAGAAGGAGAGAGCACAGTGCTGGTACAGTCAACACCTCCAGAGTGAGCAGCTTACAGTTACAGCACTTCATGCTCAGTATTATTCACAGCAGTCGTCTTAAGTGTGGTCTTGATATATCGTTAAAAGGCTTTCATTATTTACTCAAATATTTAAAAATTACTATTTCTCAAAATCCAGATAAGTAAAACATCAAGGGAGTTCCTCTCAAGGTACGGTGGAACACGAGGAGGTAAAACCTCCTTTAGTCACCCATTTCTTCTCGTTGTTTTTGCCAAGGTACGATTGTTCTTCCCAGCACTTGCCTTTATGTTGTGGTCTCTGATTTGAGTGGAATTGATGTTCCCTAAGAAACCTGTTGCCTTTGCCAGTGACACAGAAAAATCAAAGCACATTCAGGACAAAGTCTTAGTTTGGACCTACAGGAATGTGCAGCAGTTTGATGGTTTGATTCACTTTATTTCTTTTTTCTTCTGTTGGATTTGTGTTCTGGCTCTTTGTGTGGCTTTATTCACACCTGTGGAGGGGATGGCGTGGGTGTGAAATAGGACATTTCTAAACAGGTGCTTGGAGAAAGTCTTCAGTTGTGTCCAAAGATGATATCTTTATGTATGCTTTTAGGCGGTTTGTCCGATTTCCTTCCCACCATGGACTTTATTATGTAGCTTAAAAACACAAAAACAGGAAGTAGACTTCTGTCTGCAAAGTCTCTTACAGGTTATGGAGTCAGGGACAAATACGTCAATGAAGATTTAGAGGAAGGCTGTTCATTTCTTTGATCTTTTTAAAAAGATTCAGGATTCAGCTATTTACATATAGCCATGTCTGCCTCTGTGTTTCATGCCTCGATCACAGTCTCTCCAAGTTTGTTAGAATTGCTTAATGTCAGAATAAATCCAACTAAATTCTGTAGGTTTTCAGAGGATCTTGGGAAAAAGCTGCCTGTGTTTTCAGCAAACACACTTGGCAATCCTGAGAGAAGGCTTGTCAGTATGTTTGCTTGCACCGCAGTTAGTTCTAAAAGATGTCTTCAGTGTTTTTCTTCTTGTATTTTGCAACTGTGCAGATGTTTTATTGGCAATTATAAATCTCAGGGATTTAAAAAAAACGCAACCCAAACAGTAGTAGGAGTCTTAATGTAATGCCCCTTTTGTTTTCTAAAGGAATGGGAGTGACTGGGTACTTGGTCCTTTAGTTTAGAGCAAGAAATGTGGAGCCACAGATGAGGGTGGGGTGGGGTGGAGCTTTGACCCAGTTGCGGAGCTGTTTGGATGAAGGTTTTAGTTAGGGGGGTCACCAGGAGCACTGGTCCTTCACATATAACTGCTGGTTATGTCAGTGCTGTCGCTGATCGATACCACGTAGCTGTCGTGGGTTCTTCTGGGCTTTTCTGCTTTTCAAAGCTGTGTGGCTTCTGAGGGCCTAGTTGCATGCTTAACTTTGTTGGTTTATTTGTGGGTTCCCAGAAAGAGGAGAAAATTGAGTTCGTAAGTAAGAGTTTCTATGATAGCAAGAAAGCTGTGAGAAAAAAGGTTCTTCATCATTTCCTGCAGAGGGGTAACTTCAGATTCATCTGCCCATAGAGACACAGAGACAAGCAGCCTGCCTGCAGGGAAACGGGCTGACTCGGTGCTTTGCCATGAACTCAGGCACTGACTGAGTTATTTTAGTGTCCCAAGTACCAGCAATGCTGCTAAGTTTTCACTGTTCCTCCCTGTGCTTGTTTTATTTTCTTTTTCCAGTGTCAGTGCTACTAAAACTCAGGTCCTGGTACTGATTCTGTTCTTATTTCCCGAGCACACAAGTTTTCTTTCCAAGAAGGCGAGCAGTGTGCAGGCAGCTCTGGAGTTGGTGCTGGCCACCTTGCCGAGAGAGCTGGGACCCTGGCAGGCCCCACGCAGTGAAAGCTGCTGCGGGAACTGTGTGGCATGAAAAAGGGGGGAAATTTCATAGGTGTACTTGCCTTGAGAAGAAAGCATTTGAGGAGCTGTGGTAGAAGGAGATGAGGTGCAAACCTTCACGTGTCCCTGACAAGTGAGTGGTTGACACTGTCACTCTGCAGGTACGTTACATTATTCCATGTTTATGTTCTGCCCCCGTCTGCAGGAGGCTGGGCAGAGCCACATACAGGTACTTACATTTCTATATAGTTTTAGTGCCATGTTTTTCCAGAATGGAGAACAGCTGGGGTTTCCAGGCTGGTTCTCCCACTCCAGGCTGTGCGTCCGCCGGCCCTTGCAGCAGTGGCTCAGCAAAGGGAAACGGAGCCACTGCTCCTGCTCCCTAGTGAACTGGGACTGGTTCCCATCCTTCCACTGCTCTGGGTTCCTATTTTAGCAAATCCCTGCAGCCGTAGAAAGCACGTCAGTATTAGTGGCTTCCCAAACTGAATTAGGCTGGTGGGTTTAGCTCTCTTATAGTGCTTAACCTGCACGTTGCAGTGCGACTAAAAGACACGGAGAAATGCATGTCCTGAATGGGTGATTTACTTTGCACCCATATTCCTGTACGTGTGTGCTCACAGCCACTCTACATTTAAGCACATTTATTAAATGGAAGCACTACATCCAGGACATTTCTGATCTTCATGTACGCAGTTAGTGGAGCTCCTTTAATTTGCACAGAACAGGGGTTGTAGGATATTCTGTGACCTATCCTCCACCTGGTTAAACATTGGTAAATGTTCCTAGCCTGTGCTATCTGTTGTGTGTAGACTTTGTCATTTTAAAGTACTCGTTCATTATTCCAGTAATAACGCTGTATATCTCCCAGGACGTATCGTATTTTATCTTAGGATGGAATAGGGCGATAATATTGCTTTGCTTTCATCTTTCACTTTAATTTCCAGCGAATTTCAGAGTTGCTAGATAATCCCACGTATTGATCTCCTTTTTCCTGTGTATATTTGTATTGTGGTCATAGGTGATTTTGTTTAAGGAGTGGTGTTTTTTTTTTTGGTTGGTGGCTTGATTTTGGTTTGGCGTTGATTTTTTTTTTTTTGGTGTTGGTAGTTTTTTGTTTAGTTGCAAATCTTGATAAGGCTAAGATTTCCTGGAGACACTAATAAAAGTCATTATAATTTTATGCTTTCTGGTGCAAACCTGTCGGTAAGTCATTCCCATTATTGTCATTTTGCAAAACATGCAAAACCAAGCCATAATTATCTGGTATTGATTGAACGAATAAGTACACAATACGATTCTCATTGTAGTCCTTTAGCTGTCACTACCTGTAGTTTATAACAGCTCTGACACTGCACCTGTCACAAATGCCATGTGTATACGTACGGGTATACATATACACTCGCTGGGGGAGTATGGGGAGACTTCACAGTTCCAAACATGTATCATAAAATCCACTTCATTCATTACCTGCTCGTGGGATTAGTCCACTGGGTGAGCTGTAGCTTTGCAGGTTTCGAATTTGAAGCGTGAGAAATTGAACCTGGTTTGTGGGGAAGGCTTTGCTAGAAATTTGCCAAAGTCACGATATTCAGCTGGCGCTGGGACGGCAGCCGAGAGCGCAGCAGTTTCGGTAAGGAACACGACGTGCCTGTTTAGCAATGCAGACAGGGTATGCGTGCCTTCGTTAGAGCGACTCCCCAGTTAAATAGGTGCTACTCTTTTCAGGAAAGGATTATGGTGAGAAAACAAAGAGGGCTGGAATTTTTAATTGATCTCTTGAACTTTATCTTTTATACGGTAAATGTTTTATTGAATTACTTGTTGGGATTTTTAATATCTTTGTGTCTGTTCAGATTGCCGGTTATGAACCTACAGATTTGTACTAATTCATAATTTCAATTGTTTATGCAATAAAATAAGGAAACCTTTGATATAAATGACAACATGGGCTTTTTAGCTTTATTTTTCATTACCCTTGTGTTTGAAATAGAATAAATATTTGCTCTCCTAGTCAAGGCATCTTAGAGTTTAATTACCAGCTCTGCCCAGCCAGTTCTCCTCCTGTACCCCTTTGTGGAAAGCAGAGCACAGCTGAGGCCAATACTGGTGTGAGCTTTTGAAAGGACTGTTTGGTGCAGACCTTCTGCTTGGGAGACAAATGGGACTGAAAGTTCAGATTTTGTTACAGGAATTATATTTATTGTGGGGATGTTTTCTTTCAAACTGTGTTGTCCCTCAAACTCTCCTGTATATTTGTTTTTATTGGAAGCCCATCCTTTATTGCAGGCATAGGGTATGGAAGCAATTGCGTATTTTCTAGGTTGAAAGTTCTCCTTCAGGAGTCTGTGACCAATGTCTGGGTAAATCCTCTTTTCCTGAATCACATAAACATTTGCTTAAAAAACAAGTCAGTAGTACTTGTGTAAGTAAACTGAGCAGGTTTCTGGGCTAATTTGAATTGACAAATTTAAAAAAAAATTCTCCATATTATGTTTGCTGAGTGACAAAACAATGAAAACACTCAAAACCCTTTGCTTTTCAGCAAGGAGGAATTATTGGGCAGAATTGACTCTTGGCTTCCTTGCGAGTGTCAGGAGATGTCAGGAGATGTCAGACCATAGCATGTTAAAACATTTTATTACAGGGGGTGAATTTGATTATTTTTTTTTCAATTATATACATGCTGGTCTTCTAATGAAACTGTGGTTTTGTTTGGTATTCTCAAAGATCTTTGAGTATGTGGAGTCTTACACCAAACTGTCACATTTTTCTATGTTGCTTTGAGTCGAGTGCATCTGTGTGTGCTGTGAAAGCAGAAAGCCGTCGTGTGCAGAACACAGCCACATGTGTGGGGTTCTGATTTCCCTTGCTGGATACCCATGTCATTGCATGGACACCCGGACTCCTGCTTACCACCAGGCTTCCTGCTTTGGGATGCTGCTGTTACGACTTACGTGTGGAGAACAGATTTCCCCTTCATGCGAACTGCTGAACCGTGGACCCATCCCTTGCAGAGAATTGTCCTTTTTAATGTCCCTGCAGGATGCACCAGGGTTGAATGTCGAAGGAAATCATTCACACACTTTGATCTTCATACCAATATTTCTCCCTGATCAGAAGTTTTCTACGTTGAACAGCTGTTGAAAGCAGCTATGGCTACTCTGACTGTTGCATGGATTCTTCCTTTCCCGTCCTTCCCCAGGAGAGCAGAGAGTCGCTTCACATCTCGCCAGCTCAACTGGGAGCTCCACGTGTGCTGCTCCAGTGGAGAAACACCGTTGGCTTATGAGAATGAAAATTTCAGTATATGCTTGTAACGTCATCTGCCAAGATACTCCATTGTACTGACTTTATATCAAGCATTTAAACAAGTGTTAGCAAAAAAGCTAACTTGAGCTGCTCTGAGACATTTTACAGTCCTTTCTAGAAAAGACAGATTTCAGAAATCACATTAACTGTGGAAGATCCCTTGACAGAATCTGCCACTCATGTGGACATCCTGACACTCATTGCAGCTGTAACAGCTCCGTCCTGAGCTCTTTATTGTTCTCATCCATGGGAAGTAAAGGGCGGCTCTGTGGTGTCCTCCCGTAGCTGTCTGCGTGAGGGGAAGGGCGCTACCACCCCTGGAGCAACGATGGGCGTTTGCATCTGTGGGTTGGCCCCCTCCCAGGTGTGGGGAGAGAGGGAGCCCCGTGGTGCTGCATTGCAGGCTCTGCTCCATTCGGGCTTCTCCAGGAGCTGAACATACCCTTCATTTTCATAAACCACTTGGGCTTCGGGCAACAGGGTTCTGGCTGTCTCAGATATAAATGAGCAAGTGTTTGAAATTAATTTAATGGCCAGCTGCTGCTGTTGAAAGTGATAAAAACTGGAACAACTTAGTTGAAAGAAGCAGGCAGTGAAGTTTGTGTGTAGCAAGTTACATCCCTTTTGTTCCCCTTGTATCAAAAGCAATTCAAGTTACAGATTTGGGAACATGTCGCTACATCATCTTAAATTCCAGGAATTTAAAGCAGCTCCTCACCCCTGTACGCTTGTAGGTTTTAAGCTGTTGTTCCAGCATCCCTGACATGTAAAAGCAAACTCACAATAATCTCCTGTCCTTGTATAGGTGCAGCAAATGCCAGGTGGTGTTGCTTTCCTCTGCTGATCTTAAAAGCAGTGGGAGCGACAGAAACGCTCAGGCCGAAACAAAAACTGGCTCCAGAGTGACGGCGTGTGCCGAGCATATTAATAGTTAACTCCGCAGCCTGGATGATGGGAATCTCTTCCAGGTGACGGAGCGCAGCACTGTTTAGCTTCCTGCGTTTGTCAATGTGAAAACGGGAGCGTGGCTCCCTCGCTGCCGCCAGCGCCTGGCCCTGCCTTGGCTTCCCGAGCCTGGGAGCGGCGGCTGCTCTTGCCCACAGCGAATCCCAAAGCTCCCAGCTCCTCCAGCACCCGTGCCCTGTGGCTGTGTCCAGAGATATCCACGGGGGCTGATTGGGGTTTTTTTTAAAACCTTTTGGGATGATTTTTAAGTAGTCTGGTAACTGATGAGTTGGCATTTTTGGTTTCGCTGTCGATTTTCCTGTTTGCCTTGGGTGGGGTGATTCAGCCCTCGCTCGCTGCTTGTAATGCACAACAAATGGTGCTGGGGAGGATCATGCGCGTGGCTGAGGGTTTGAGCCGCGCGGTGGAAGCAGGAGATGCTGAAGTGCTTGGTACCCATGCAGTTGCCTGATCTGACGAAGCTTGTCTGTTTATCGTAGGGAAGAGCAGGGAAAAAGAGTAGGTGAGGTTAATAGGGATTCTGTGGGTGTAGGGTGAGAAATGGGAGTGTCTGTTGCCTTTGTTTGGTCCCAAAAAGCAGAGCTCTTGACCAGTCGTTTTCACTGTGACGCCTCAAGGAGGGTCTGCAGGAGAGAGGAGGGCAGCTACTGTTTGTAGGCTAAAATTCACTTTAATCATGTCCAAAATCTCTGAAGGGTCCAGAAATGAAATAGTAATAATGTAAAAAAAAATTGGCAATTAATAATGTAAAGCAAAGCAGTGCAAGTTACTACTGCTTCTGACAGGTTTTGCTGTGTGAGAGGATGGTGTCCATGCAGTTAATACGCAGTGCTGCAAAATTGCTTTCCTTTGAGATCAGTAGTTTATTTGTATAGTTCGAAAAGCCAGGAGTGAAATCTTTTGCATGCTCCCTTTTTTTGCATAGCAATACGTTTACCTTGTCCATTGATGCAACTCTGGAGACTCCCTGATTTCTGAATGTATTTTTAATGAGCCTTATCTTCCGGAATGGAGAGTAGTGGGATGATTTGTCCTAACCTTTCCCTGGGGTGGAAAGTGATTCTTATTTTAAAAAGGAAAAAATAAAAGCTGTATTCGTGTTACCGCAGTATAATCCTGTGCTGCAAACCCTGCTCAACAAAATCCAGCAGAATTCGAGTACTGTTTCCTAGAAGCTAAACAATTTATCCTTTTCCATTAAATGTAGTTTCAAAGGTGTCTGTCCTTACTGCGCTGCCATGTCGCGGCTGAGTTGCAGGGAACGCTCCGTTTGCACTTTAGATGTATGTGCCTTTTTTTTTTCTTTTGACTTTTTTTAAATAATGTGAGATTGCAGTTATGGTTTACAACAGTGGGTCTTAGATGTGCTATCTTTGAAACCATTTTCTCCCCTTTTCCACTCCATCTTCTCGTTCTTTTCCCACCCAGGCCTCACCGTGAACCATCCTCAGCTCTCGTCCCTCGTGCTGAAGAGTCCCCTGGGCTTGAACCCCACTTTTCAGGTGAACCTGAACGCAGCCGGCCAGGGTTCATCCCCTCTTCTGAGTCCTGTCCTCAGCGATGCTGGCGGCGCTAGGATAGAAGAGGATGACGAAATGAAGCGTAAGGTAAGATAATGATGCAATGGGGAGCTCACGTCATGAGAAAAGCAGTAGTTTTGAGCAAGGAGCTGTGCTTGCTGCTTACTGAACGCTGACTGCATTACATTTTGTGGTAGAACAGACATGTTTGGTGGTTAGCGTTAAAAACTCCGGCGCTGAAGGTTTGGTCGGGTTTGTTTACCTCACTGTTGTGGTCTGAGTCCCCACTGCCCTCTTGGCATAGGGATCTTCTTAGCCTCTGGGACGACCTCCTGCTGTTTTAGCAGGAACTGCTGCTGAGGGCCTCAGTGCAGCAGAGAGCTGTGCTCAAAGTCTGCCTTTTATACCCCAGAATGGAAACAAGAGTTCAGATTGGACATTAGAGAGAGGTTCTTCACTGCGAGAGTGGTTGGTCTCTGGAACAGGCTCCCCAGGGCAGTGGTCATGGCACCAAGCCTGGCAGAGTTCAGGGAGCATCTGGATGATGCTCTTAGTCATATGGTTTAGTTTTAGGTGGTTCTGCGAGGAGCAGGGAGTTGGACTTGATGATCCTTATGGATCCCTTCCAACTTGAGATACTCTTACGAGATGTGGCTTCCTGAGAAGAGCTGTTTGAGGGCAAGAGTTGATACGTATTTGATATAAAATGGTGCACTTGGTGCCTTTTGTTATATTAGAATATAAAAATTATCCCTTTGTCTTTGTCATGAGACTATTGAAAGCACACTCCAAAGCAGGTGAGTTGTTCAAGGTGGTTCTTTCTGAAAGGCTGGCAGGAGAGGTGGCTGTCAGTTCTGGAAATCAGTTGCGTTTGGCTCATTCAGTAATGAAAAGTTGCGTCACGAATTGTGTCACGTATTGACACTGAACCTGGTCTTGTCTTTGCTGAGTGCTGTCGTGTTTAACCCATGTCAGCTCACTGGACTGTGTTGGAGTGTGCTCTGTGTCCTTAATAAAAATGTGTTCTAAAATAATTTCATTTACCAGCACAGAGAATAGCACGCAGCTACCATTTGTCGGTTTATAAGGTGTGTTCTTCCTAGGTTCTTTGCTTCCTGGGAACTCCCCAGCGTCACCCCAGAAAGCTGCAAAGTCTCTGCTGCAAAGGTGCATGTTCTATGATGTGGGGCTTTCCTCAGCCCCATGTAGAGCTCAGGATTCACCCTTTCTCGGGTAATCCTAATTATAAAACATTTTCCTTCTGGAGGTGATTCCACCTTTAGTCCTAAAGACATGGACTTCAGCGTCATTGAGCAAGGCGTCTCTGCCCCAGTGACCATCCGTTTCCTCTTGAGGACTGGAACACTGCAGAGCCTTTCTGAAAGGTGAAGTAAGTGGTGGTAGCCCACAAACTGTGACCAGGGTCTCCCAGGAGCTTCTGCAGAGCATTACGTACTCTGTGCAGCAACTCTCCTCTGGTCTGTGTGGCAAAGCTGATGTCCTGCTTCATGCTGACATCTGATCCTGTGCCTGGGGAAGCAGTGGCTTCATGGACCTCCACGGTTTTTCAGAATGACAGAGATGGCCAGATGTCACCGTGTGATTCATGTTTTCTTCCCTCTCTGCACTATGTGAGCAGGCCTTCACGGTAGTTGCTAGGAATAACAAGGATGTGCAACCACAGTATGGTTGAGGTTGGAAGGGACCTTTTCTAGTCCAGCCAGCCCCTCTTTTTAAGCAGTGACTCAATTCAGATGCGCTCAGGAGAAATAAATGTGTGTGTGTATGTGTGTGTACACATACACTGACACATGCATTCTCTGACCACCTTTCAGATGTAGATAACAAATTACCAGACTTTGCCTCCGCAGGGGCATGGTGTATAGTATGTGACAAACTGCATGTCACAGGACACTGCGTTTCTCCTGGTAAGACGAAGTCCACTGAACAGCACACTTCTGTGGCCATTTTTCCACAAGCTGCTTTGCTCCCGTTGCCTTGCTGGCTTGCATAGCAGCCAGCTTTGTTGTCTCTTTGGTACTTGAGAAGGATCCAGTACCTTCCTTCCATGACAGTGCAAGGAAGGCTCCATTGCCCAAACTCAGTTCCTTATCAAGTCAATGGCCACGCTCTAATCTATAGATTTAATCTCTACATTTCTTTGAGTGTAATCTCAAAGGAGAAACCACCTTGTGTGCTCTTTACTCCTGCTTTTCTGCTTGCCCATCCAATGTTCAGGTTGCTTACCTCTGTCAGAAGGCAAGCAGGTCATGAGCCCATGCTGTTTGCTGTCTTCACCCTGTCTTTCGGTACTTCTTGGTGCCAGCAGATGCAAGCTTGCTCACTCCTTTTTCATCTCAGTGGATGATCTGAAGATCTCTGCACTGTGTCCTGACTGTCAGCCGCTCAGGGAACATAGAGAAATCTCACCCCGAGCAAAGGTGCCACTCTGGATTTAGTGCTTCCGGAGCTCACTTCTCCCCGTGCTTGCTCCTGAACGCTAAGGGACCTCTCTGAGATCTGCTGGGCTCTCCGCAGAGCCAAGTGCTGCACCATGAGAGACACAAGCAGCTCTCGGCAGGATAGCCCTGCAGGCACTCTTCTTCTGGAGACCACCAGTAACCAAGCCAGAGATGCGCTGCTGTTAAGAACCACCCGTGGTGTGGACGTGGTCTGAGTTAAGTGCTTGCAAGAGAGAGGAAGGTTTAACCAGTAACTGGGAGCTGAGACTTTTCAGCCTCCCTATTTCATTTAGACTTTCTGAGGTAGTTTATAGCTTTGATAGATCACCCTACTGTTAGTTTCCAGTATGTTTTATTTTTAAATACTTCCTCTCATTTATTCTTAGAGCAGGCACAGCACAGCCTGGAAATAATGAGCAGCATCTGTGTTATCCGTCCTAAACACGGAAGCCCAGTCCTTTCTGCCTCATTCTAAGTCTGATATTTCAGCAGCTTGAGTTCTCATTTTTTAATTCATAAAAGTGAGAACCCTGAAAGGGAACTTTTTTGTCGTACTTGGTCTTAGGCTTGATCAGCTTCTGAGACTTCCAAGGCTTTGATGTCTATGCAGAGGCAGTATTTTAAGTGAAACAAAGCCAGATGGAAACCAATGTTAAATTAGTTAGATTTCACTGCACTTTTACAGCTTTATTGTGCAAGAAAAATGTAGTCTTCCAATATCTCTATTACTATAGAGCTCTGATTCTATGGGTACTGATGCTGCTGAAATTCCACCTGGTTAATCGGGGCATTTGTATGTGAACTCTTCAGCTCTTGCAGTTTATGCTTCCCATGCAGTGTTTTTCTTTCATTTCACTGACAGATTTCTCCCCATTCCTTTTCCACTGGAGGTTGGCTGTAGCAACCCACTTAAACTGCGTGTAGAAGCTGGGCTTTTTGTTGTGAGTTCTTTGGTATGTTCCCCCCACCCAGAGTTACTTTTAACACTGCTGACGCTCGATCTTTGTAGTGAAAAGATAAGCATTTTTGTGTATGTGGAATTATTATTTAATTTTTCATTTCCAGACTTGAGAGCTTTGTGACAGTGTGATCTAGGTGCAAGGCAGGCAGGAAAGTCTTTCTTAGTCTCACAGTCCTTATAAAGCTCAGATTTAAGCTCTTCACTCACACGAGCTGGTGTTGCTGGTATCTAGTGAGGGTTTGAAGATTTCCTGATGTGATTGTGTGCACATAATGCGGTGAAACACGCGTTTATCCAAGTAGGGATATTTGCCTTGATGCCTGCCGTGGTTTAGGGCTGGGCTGTCCGCTGAATGATGGACAGACGTTCTCTGTGAACCCCTCTCCCCTCCCCAGAAGGGGAAGAGAAAAGAGAATAAGGGAGAAGGACTTACGGGTTAGAAAAGAAAACTAACAAGTTTAATGAAGCAATAACATTAATACTACAGGATAATAATGTAATTAGGAAAATAATGAAATATATACTAATGTATAAAAAAAAATATAAAATCTTCCCCCAGTGATGATTATGTCACCAGAGGCTCTGTGGGGCAGGACACTGGAGAAGTCCCAGACCAGACCCAGCAGCAGGTGGGAGCAGGATTCAGGAACTGGATTCAAGAATGCACGAATAGGGATTGAAGGCAGATGAAGCAGCAGAGTTCTGCTCAGATATCAGCCGTGGCAGAAGCAGTGAAGAAAATAAAAAAAGAGCATGGAAGGGTCTTGACCCTCGTGATCCTTCAGTTTTATACCGAGTGTGGCCTATGTGGGATGACATACCTTGTTGGTCAGTTTTGGGTCGTTTGTCCTGCCTTCTCCTCTCCACAGGTTTGACACCCCAATATGGCACCCATGATGTAGCAGTGGCCTTGGTCTCCATAGGCACAAGTATAAGCAAGAGCTCTATTTACATACCATACCTAATAGTAACTATAAACATCAAGCGCTGTCACTTGTAGAAATGAACACTGTCTGGAAAAACATGCTCTTAGTTTCAGAAAGTACAGTCACTTAGAAGAGACTTCACTGAAGAAGTAAAATCACTGAATAGAGAATTAGTTCTGTTTAGCTCAAAGCAGGACAATGCCTGCTGTGGTTGTAGGTCTTTGTAGGCAGACTGCGTCCTCAGAGAGTTTTGTGTTTATATTTTTCAGACATAAGTTGATTTTGTTTCCTCTTGCGGTGCCTGAGCAGTAATGAAGGTGTTGGGCAGGGCTGTGAGAGCTGGATCACTTTTTGGTGCTTCTGGTATGGGGTCTGCTGCCAGGACTCAGCACAGGGAATTCAGTTAGGACTGATGTAAGACCAAAAAAAGATAAAATTAAGGACAGTAAATTTGAGCAGGGAGCAATTTGGAGAGCGACAAGAACTTCAGAGTGTGAACAGGAAGTGATGATACAGTGAGGAGGGAGAAAGGAAGAGAAGATGCTTGGGAAATGGAGGGCATCCTCTGTGCCTCAGGCTGGCACTCAGTGAGCAGGGCAATGAAATAGCAACCTGCAGAATTCCCAAAGGTGACAAAAAATGTTATCCACGCAGGTGATGGAAAGTGAGGTTGCGGGCATGGTGTGTTTGCACTTGCCTTTGTGCTCTGTAAGTTTTTAAGGAAGAAACAATCCCGAAAAATATTTCTGAGAGTGGGGAAAAAGCACTGGAGCGAGGATTGAAGTGCAGGGTGTGAACTGGGGCTGGGCAGGATCCCTGCCAAAGCTCTCAGGGATGTACTTGATTTGTGGTGCACATCGCTTGTGGGTAACTCGTGAAGCAGCTCTTGAAATAGGTGTGAGATGGTGGCGGAGAGGTGATGCTGAGGAAAGGGATGAAGGCAGTGGATGCACGTGTTGGGCGGGGGGTTGCAGGACAGGCGTGTGGCACAGGATGAAGCTGGTGAGAGAAGAGCTGTGTCACCTTGGGCTCCAGGGATGTCAGAAAAATGATGCCCTAACCTTTGGGAAGAGGCTGTTGGAAACGGGCACCCACTGAGGTTCAACAGGTTGTGGAGGGTTTATGAGGCTGCAGTCAGGGAAATCAACCCAAGAAAAAAAATCAGAAATACCAAGATTCAGTAGGATGTTCCCTGACACCACGTACCTGAGGTAGATACGTTAAAGTGAAGAGGCTGGCTCTGGAGGGAACAGAAGGAAGCATGTCCAGGCACCTCCTCTGGTACCCCCAGGAAGGGGGCTGATGGGTGGAACCACAGTAACAAGCATAAAATAACCTGAAAAAGGGATAGAGAGTTTCTCAGAATTAATTATTTGTGGATGCACACCTGTATTCTGTGTGGCCAAGGTGGGCTCAATAGATTTATGACTGAGCAACCAGGAAAACATCTCCTCCATGAGTAGTATTGAGTTGGAGGATTTGGAAGCACTGAGTAGCTGAAAGGCATCTCAAAGCATCTCTCAAAAGAAAATTACTTTTTAACTTGGTACATACAGGGAGAAGGGAGAAGTTTTCAAAGCTGTGTTACCCTCGGGAGGGGCAGAGATGGAAGCCAAATTTTGATGTAGCTCAAGTGTTTCATTTATTTTCACCAGGTGAGGATTTAGCAGAAAACTGCAGCACGGCATAGTGAGCAAAGGAGGCAAAGCAGCATCTTAGCTTGAAATGTGACTCGTTCCTTAATATTACTTACATGATTTTTAATAATGCATGTTTTCAGGCCAACTCTGATATTGGTTCACTGCAGCTGCAGAAAATCTTGTATTCACCATCTTGTTCCTTTGTGCTTCCATGTCCATTCTGTCTTCTCTTTTCTTTAAATAGCAGCCCTGGAGCAACCATGCAGGCAACAACTGACGTAGTTTGATTTTTTTGCTGTTTTCTTAACTAATTTAAATGATCTTTAAAGGATTTGAGTAATAGCTGTAAGCAGAGGTAGAGTAGTTTTGGAAAAGGACTGTATTGTGAATCTGCTGTACTCCGTTTGGTTAGAGAAGTGTTTAAAACAGGAAATTTGGAATAACTGTTTTCATATTTATGTGAAGTGTTCGTTTCATTTTGAAATGGACGTTCATGTAACTGACATAATTTTTTAAGAATCTTCAAATAGAAGTAGTATTTGATAGGAAAGTCAGTATTTGAGAATCCAATGCTGAGTACAGAGATGCCCTGCAGTAATCAGCTGCTCCACCTGCACACAGCAAGGGGGAATGCTGGTAAGGTTTGAGCTTGTGCTTAGCAATAAATCAAGGATTTCTATTTTAATATTTATTGTGTATTCTTTCAGCGCTATCCAGCCGACAAGGCATACTTCATAGCAAAGGAGATTCTTGCTACAGAACGGACATATTTAAAGGACCTGGAAGTTATTACGGTGGTAAGGGTTTTTAACTTGCTTCAGTGCTTTTCATTTTCTTAACAAATCTTTAATTTTTAATTTGGAAAAAACTCAGAATTTCTTCCAGGTGACTAAAAAAGGAAGTCCTATGATAAAGCACAGTCCATGAGCCAGGGGCTGTTACCTTCCTTGCTCTGTAGGCCCTCATGTGGGACAGCAGATATCTTCTCTGGACTTCTGTCCTTAGCTCCCATAGCTCCATCACATTGAGTCCTTGTTTGGAGGACAGCTTGAATTTCCAGCTCCTTTTCCTTAAGGTCAGCTGTGGCAGCTGCTGGGTAATTGACCGTAATGGGAACTGTTACCGTGCTTGTGCCCAGAACCGATAATAAGCCTTGTGTTTGCAATGTTTGCCAAGGAAAAAAAATGACATCATTTTGTCTTTCCCGGATTACATCTTCTCTGAGTTTGTCTTCTTCCTCCCTCCTGTGTCGGTGTGCACACACTTTCTCTTCCCTCAGTGCTGCAGGAGCAGAAGTTTTTGTGCTAGCAATTAATTTCTTAAATAGAGAAACTTTGTCATATTTTATGATTTTTTCCGGCAGTGGTTTCGCAGTGCAGTCATCAAGGAGAACGCGATGCCGGAGGGCCTGATGACACTACTCTTCTCCAACATAGACCCAATTTATGAGTTTCATCGAGGCTTTCTGAAAGAGATTGAGCAAAGGCTGTCGCTCTGGTAAGCGTTCATAGTGCAGCACGTAAGCAACAAGCGGAGGAACATTTTCCTGTGTCCTCACATCATAACTGGACTTGATCTATATTTGCTCTGATATTTCTGCATAAATAGAATCAAGGAAAAAGGCTTTTAATAAATTACAGTTTAAAAAAGTTACTAAATACATTTTGCTAAGCCCATTTTTCAATGACGTTTATTATTATTATATGGCACTTATTCAGAGGTCTGAGAGGTTAAACTCCTAAGTGGACTTCCACACACATGAATTTCTGTTCCTTTCTCAGATTTCTAAGCATGGCTTTGTATTTTTTATTTTCTGCAGCTTCATATTTACTGTACCAAATTTTTAACCCAAACAGTGAAATGGGAATGTCAGGTGGATAAAAATGGATAGAGGAGGCATTAATGTTAGTACCGCTTCCCTGGATTTTACTAAAGCAGTTCTTAAAATACACAGATACCAGGGAAGCATCTCTTAAAGATTGTCTTAAAGTACAGGGGAAGGTAGAGTGAGAAAATGGAAATTTCTTGACCTCCCATGTACTGTGCCTTCTTATGTCATCTCTTTATGTGTGTTTCAGGGAAGGAAAAACCAATGCTCACGTTAAAGGAGATTATCAGCGCATTGGAGATGTCATGCTCAGGAACATGCGTACTCTAAAGGTAGATAAAGGATTTAAAATAATGGACTCTTGGAGATGCTGATTCAGTTTTTCATTTCGTATTTCCACTAAACTTGAAGTGACTTGCAAACAATTATTGTTGATAAACAAATTAAAAAGAAAACATAATAAAATATTTACAGCAAGGCTTTATACAACTGTTGCTTATTTAACCACCTACACTTTAGTTAACCACTTCTGCTGTGAGGAAAGGTTGGTTGGTTGTTGGTTATTCAGCAGAAGACAAAAATTATTTCATTAGCTTCACCATTTCTTCTGTATTTGCACAACTTAAGCTCTCTCCTACGGAGACACTTTTATAAAGTTGTTTAATTCAAAAATATGAAATTTTTAACTGCAGAGTAGCATCTTCTGAAATGAAGTCACCTTGATTTGGCGTAGAATGCCTTCATGGGACAGTTATGCTTGTGCTGTGCAGTATATGCCATCTTGGATTGTATAACCATGGCCAGAGACAAAAGTAGAGAGGAGATTAAATGCTTTTTCTTATTCACTGTGAAATCTCTTAGACTCTTTTCCTGTGATCCAAGTAATTTTTTTTGGTGTGATTCAACAGGAGTTTACCAGTTACCTGCAGAAGCACGACGAGGTCCTGACGGAACTGGAGAAAGCAACTAAACGCCTCAAGAAGCTGGAAATGGTGTATAAGGAGTTTGAGCTGCAGAAGGTTTGCTACCTGCCCCTCAACACCTTTCTGCTCAAACCCATCCAGAGGCTGATGCACTACAAGCTCATCCTGGGGAGGCTCTGCAAGCACTACACAGCCGAGCACCGGGACTTTGCCGACTGCCGGAGTGAGTGAGCGCTCAGCCCCACATGTGTGAGGCGGGAACCTATTCCCGTGTACATACAAAATTTAAAACAAAAAAAATTAGCTTATGTTTGAAAAATACCTTTGGTTTACTTTAAGGTTGTTGGTACCAGGTTTCACTGCTCTCCTGCTGTGCTCTGGTGCAGGGCTCTGAAAATGGCCTTAACTGCTAGTTTGGAAAATGCAAAAGATAACTTAGATGTAGACTGTTCTCCTTGCATAGGACGAATGCTTTTCCTGGCATTCCAGAAAGTCTTTTTCTTATGGGAATCTTGATGGATCTTGATGTTTCAGCCAAAGCTGGAAAATTAGTCCTTGTTCTCTTTTTTTTAGTGAGGAAAAAAGTATGTTTTTTAGGAACTCTTTGTAATTTCTAAGTAAAAATATGACCAAAAATAATTGCTTTATTATGTCAAAAGCTCACATAGTAAATTCCATTCATTTATAAAGTGATCTTTGGCAGAAAGAGTTGGCATTTATTTATTAATTTACTTTTGGCTACATGTTAAATACATTTTATGTGTGCAAAATCTGAGATACCAAATAATCTTCAGAAGCATAGGAAGCACTCTGAAGTTGCTTGCTAGCCTCCATTTTGCCCCTAGGTAGCCATAAAATGTGCTTTAAGAGGTTGGCAGTTGGACCAGATGGTCATTGTAGGTCCCTTCCAACTGAACTACTCTTTTCTGTTCTAAATCTGGCTCTAAACTTCAGATTTGATTTTCCAGGGATAAAATCGGTGGCCTGGGTTTGTCTGCTCTGTGCTGATCCCCTCAGTGCTGTTTTCCTTACAGATGCGCTGAAGGAGGTGACAGAAATGACATCGCAGCTGCAGCACAGCCTCATCCGCCTGGAGAACTTCCAGAAGCTGACAGAGCTGCAGCACGACTTGATTGGGATCGATAATCTCACGGCACCCGGCCGGGTATGTACCTTGGCTTCACTTTTTAGAGCCTTTATTGGTTTTATTGCTGAGGAAGTGCCTTTCAACCACATATTTGCCATCGCTGCCTCTCTGTTTTATGGAATGGCTGTATAGGCTTTGTGTAGTTGTCTTCATGGATTTCCCATGGAGGTCGTTCATGGAGATCTTGGTGAAGTCCTAGGGAATAGATCAAAAATGCTTCTGCTTAGACTCTGGCTCCAGTTTGGTGTTTCCAGTAGAGCAGGTACTGGGTACGCTGGGGTACAGTTGTGTTTGGGAAGTGGTACATCGTGTACTTGGTAATCCACTACCAGCTCTGCATGGGTCTGTCTGATGCGATCTCTGGACTGAGACCGCACGGAGGGCGTAGCGATGGCGAAAGCCACGGCACTGGGCGAAACTGATATCAGTGACCCTGCTTTTCTAGGAGTTTGTTTAGTTCCTGCTTGGTTTTTGTTTCTTTGTTTTTGATAGATATACGGGGCATAAGTACAGGAGCACCGCATATGCTTTTGGGATGCTATGGCAATCACTGCGGTGGGATGTAAGTGAATAGGTGACCCACAGGGACTCTGCTCCTTTTCCTTCTCTTGCTTCATTGATTTTAACGCTGGCTGCAGCAAGGAGCTGATTCCTGTTAGAAACCAGAAGGAAAGGTGTCATTTGGCGCTTAACTAATCTGTTAGCGGTCATTGCTGGGCACCAATCAACATCTGTGTACTCTGGGATGGAAAACGGAATCATTAAATTCAAATTCTGGGTTTGGGAAAGATCAAGCTTTGCCTAACTTTCTCTTTTCTGCTACAGGAGTTTATCCGGGAAGGTTGCTTGTATAAGCTCACTAAGAAGGGTTTGCAGCAGCGGATGTTCTTTCTGGTGGGTGTTGCTTCTGGTTTTCCTGAACCCCAAGTCTTCAAGATAAAGTTGTCATAAAAGTGTGTTTTCATGTGCTTGTGATGAAAATCAGCTCTGAGGGCTTTTAGGTAGAGCGTGGCTGTGACAGTACTGTCTGTCCAGCTTGTTTCCTTAGCGGCAGGTGGTTTTAACAGAATTTTTAAATTAATTGCCTCTCCTGTAAACAAACAAAAGAGTGAAAAGTGGCGTTTTTTCCTGCATCTACAGTGCCTTTAAAACAACAGACTTTTAAAAATATGTAAAAAAAATACTTGGCCCTACCTTCAGAATATTGACTGTATTTGTTCTGCCTCTTCCAGTTCTCAGATATGTTGCTGTACACAAGCAAAGGGGTTACAGGGACAAACCAATTCAAAATCCACGGACACCTTCCCCTGCATGGCATGTTGGTAAGTGGTTCCACGGTGCCTCACCACAGTGAGGAGAGGACTTTGCCTTAAGCAGGTTGAGGCGTTTCTTCAGGGCACAGGGATCAAAGCTGCGAGCTGCTCCCAGGCCAGTGGCAGCAGCCTGCGGTGCTGCTGGTGGTGGCCTGGACCTTCATGTGCCCCAGACAGAGACTCATCTGTGGGTGATGGGCTTCTTCCTTCCATCACATTAGCAAAACAGCCAGAGCCCGACCTTTTGAGTATTCATTTTCATGCTGCTGTGAGAGGCTGATCTGGACACGTGGATTTGTCCTGGTGTTTTTTCCCCATGAGCGCGTGTAGGCGTGCAGTCAGCCCTCCCGCCTCCCCTCTGCTAACGGGACTGTTCTTTCTGTGTTTGATTTGCAGCTGATAGTGCTCGACCCACCGGTAAGTAATGACCTCAGTCCTGCTCTGAACCCTCCTTTTCTTGCCCCACTGGATGTGGTGCTGTGCTGCTAGAGACGTGGCGGTAGAAACGCACAATATAGGTTATTGTATAGAGCCAAAATAGAGTCCAAGTAGGTGGCATTCATAACGGAGTAGCTGTTCTGCACTTACTGCAACTGGGTTGTAATCCTTTTGGTTGTGACTCAAATTCCCAGCCAGCCGAGGAGGACGGTTTCAGGGTTTATCAGTCACCCTGAGTAGTGATGAGAAAAACCTCTTCTTTTTCTGCAGGTGGAGGAGAGTGAGAACGAATGGGCTGTCCCGCACTGCTTCACCATCTATTCGGCACAAAAAACCATCGTGGTGGCAGCAAGGTAATGCTGCTTTTCCTCAGTTGCCTCTAGGTTCGCTAGATACCTTCTTCAAAGAGTTACTGATCGTAGAATCATTAAGGCTGGAAAAGACCTCTAAGGTCATCACATCCAACCATCAAATCGATCGATTGTGTGGGTTTCATGTGTCCTCTGGAAAGCACAACTTCAAACCAAACACAGGATGCTTCCCAACTCCTTTATCAGCGTTGTGTATGGTGAAGGAGTGGTTTATCTCACCAGGAAACACCCAGCAGCACCAGTAACATTGTCCTCGTATCAGTTTCCGGTTTGCTGAGTTGCCAGCGTCGTCCTTTAAACAACTGCTGTAAAGCAGGAGACTAAAGAAAATCTAAACATACAAATATTTTAGAGACCTAAAAAATAATTAAAATCCAGAATGTGCAATTGGATGTAAGGAGGGGAGGTTCCTGTATGGATCTCGTGGAGGAAGCTGGGAAGGGAGAGGAAAAATTAAAGGCTGATTTGGAGAGAAAACAAATCCCTTTTCAGTGACTTGTCTCTGTGCAGTGAGTTTGGTGTCTTTTTTTACTTTATACCTGAAATACACCTAGGATGTCTACTACACCTCTTCTCTCAGGATCAGCTTAGGGAGATATTGTCCCTCTGCAGGTTCCCCAAAAGGCAGCAGCAGTTGAGTACGGTAAGAATGCAGGGCGGGAGCACTAAATCTTAACCTTAAATGTGTAGGGTTTTTTACTGTTTGAAAAATAACCATTACTTGAATATTTGTAAATCAGATGTGTAGTGGCACAGGAACCAATACTTTTCGGTATGCAGATGTATTCAGCAAGCAAAACTTTTAAGTCCAGCCTAACACCTGAAAATTCCCATTTGTTTTAAGGATCAATTGTTTCTCAGCAGCTGTGAATCAAGAAGTGCATGAAAGGTTCTTAAATTGGGAAAAAGAAATATAATTTTTACCTTGTCAGAACTCAGAAATAGTTCAAGGGTTGTTTTAAAGAAATGCCACGGCCGTGTGGCCACATGTAAAAGCAAATCTCATGCTGTTGCATCCCTGTGGCTGTAGATACACAGATGTGACCTGTAAAGCTCTCACCCTGTAATCCTGGCATGAGCCACGTAACCCCGAATGGAGACTGGGGGGTGGAAGAAGTCCTCATCTTCCTGCACGCTGTGTTTCACCTGCCTCAGAGGGAAGGTGAATCCTGTATCCCCTTTAAAAGATGAGCTGTCTTTCAGGTTGCCTTCTACTTGACAAAAATAATTTCCACTATGGTCATACCACCCATCTCCAAAATGCTTTGTATTTATTTAATGAAAGGGACTGCTGCTTGTATTGGGCAGTGACCTGTGCCTTCCCTCAGCAAACCAGTGCTCTGTAACAAATCTGGGCTGGGGTGGTGGTCTCCATCCACGCCGTTTGTCTTGCAGCACCCGCTTGGAGATGGGGAAGTGGATGGAAGACCTAAACGTGGCGATTGAAATGGCCAAGAAATCTACAGAGAAATCTGACATGCTACTGGAGAACTCAGTGTGCAATCGCTCCAACAGTAAGTGGGGTTTCCTGCCTTCTTAAAAAGCATCACTTCTCATGTCTTTTTCATTTTGCCTTATTGTGGATTTGATGACATAAATGGAATATTTTTATAATTCATATGGTAATGGAGAGTTATAGTGCTTTTATTGTGTTTTAATCAAAAGAAATTTGCTTATTCTCCTACACCCATGTTCCTTGTAGCTTTAAATGCAGCAGAGATACTCCAGTGGCAGAATTGTTATTTTATAAGGTCCTTATTCAACTCTTACACATGGTTAAATTGAGAAAAACATATGTATTTTCTTGTCCAGAAATTTGGTGTCTTTGGAGACCAGCAAGTTTTTTTAATAGCTCAGCATTCTTGTGCCTGTCTCTGCTGGTGTTACGGATGTACTGAAATACAGCTCTTCTTCCTCTTCCTCACTAAGATATCCTCACTAGGAATCGGCTGATGAAGTGTGGGGATTTTTGTTTGTTTTACACGGTATTGGGTCACTTACCCCAAGCAGAGCTGAGTAATGAAAGCCAAAATGGTCTCCTCTAAGCGGCCTTTAGGAGCTGTGTAACAAATTCAAGTCGAGGTATTTTAAAACTGGACCATTGCAAGAGAAAACGGTTTTTCTCAGAAATCCCTGCTTCTCTTGCTCTTTATATTGCACACTTTTCTTAAACCGCTGCTGAATTCTCCTCCCCCAGGATCCTCTGACGAGGTCTCTCTAGAGCAGGAGTCCGAAGATGACATACACTCTTCTCGTAGCTCCTTGGACAGGCAGAGCCACCACCGTGCCAACACAACCATGCACGTGTGCTGGTACCGCAACACCAGCGTCTCCATGACGGACCACAGTGTGGCTGTCGAGGTACCCGCAGGGCGCAGCTCTCCCGTCTCACTCTGTCCGTCCTGGCTCACTCAGCCTCCACTCCATCTCCCATTTTGCCTTCGCAGCATCTCCGGGAGAGCGCGGGCCGCGGAGAGGCCGCTGCATGCTCACTCCTCTTGGTGCATGTCTGTGTGTTGGCACACACGCGCTCCGCTTTCCTTCCAGCAGGGCTTTGCTTCGGCAAAGGCGCCGGAGGAGGGAACTTGTAAAAGAAACCCAGGATATCTGAGGCCTGAATTGTTCCTTTGGGGGTCAGCAGCCTTGCTGGAGGATTTCACCTGTCCGTGATACTTTCCTGTAGAGATTGAGTCTGCTGTGCTGAGCTCTGGTTAGATACTGTCTGTTTAGACAGTTCTAGGTTACTCACCTAGAATTAAGAGTGCTTAAAGTTCAGCGTGGATCTGGCTCCTCTGCCTGTCCCTCGCTGGCAGCAAGTGTTAGGAAGGGCCATTTTATAGCAGTGTCACATTATGCTGAACAGAGATTTATTCTGTGCCTGCGGAGCTGCTGCTGGCCTTGGGTCTTACCGCTCAGCAGCACTGGTGGTGTGTTTTGGTGCTGAATCCTGCAGATTTAGGTGGCAGTTTGGCAAGGTCAGTTGGGTAGGACAGCTTGCTTGTGGCTGGTGTGCTATGGAAGACTTCCAAAAGTGGGAAGGACCCTAAATACCATGAAGAGAGAGAGGAGATCATGAACTGGACAAACAGCAGTGGGGGTGGGTGCTGCGTCCATGTATTTGTACCTCCCGACCTTCCCTGCCCTGCTGTTAAGGCACCTTTTGTTTCATGGAAGGAGTTACGAGTTGGGCAGTGAAGCTCCTGGGTTTTTGTGCTGTAAAGACCTCATCAATCAGCTCAGTAAAGCAAGTCCTGGAGGTGTTGCCTTGGCTTTGGGTCCAGAGGTTGGACACTTCAGCTGGGAAAGACAGGGGTTTCTATGGGAGGGCCGAGCCTTCCTTTCCCTGCTGATGCCCTTGGGAGAGGCTCTTTCTTGCTGTTCTGTACCCGAAAAGTGAGACCACCCTGCGGAGGCTCTGGGATTTAACATGTGTGTTCCTGCAGCTCCATCTCGCTTTCATCTGCTCCATGTACTAACACCATCATTTTTTTCACGATCCGTTTTCCTTTAACAGCCGCCTTTCTCGCATCACTTCTCTTATCCTAACGATCTGTTTTTCTCTTTCTCTCCCCCTTTTCTCTGCTCAGTTTTCTGCTCTCTTGCTGTTTCTCCAGAGCTTCCTCCTCGCTATTTGCTGGGCCAGACCCAACGGCCCAACACAATCACCCATGTTTGTTGGTACCGGAACCAGAGCCTATCCCTGTCTGATTACCTGTGCATGATCCAGGTAAAAACGCCTCTCAAGTTCTGCACTGGTGGGGAGGAGCCATGGGATGCCAAGGAAAATGTACTGCTGCTCGCTCCGTAACTGCCCAGCGAGCCCCCGCAGGAGGATGCCCCAGCCAGTGGCAGAGCTGTAACATCGCCACGTGGATACAGGATTTCCTCCTGTTTCTGCTTCCCAAAATGGTTCTCTGTGCAAATCTGCTGCGTATTCAGGCTTTTTCTCTAATTACAAAACCCATTTGCTGTCATCCCGTGCCATAGGTTTCCTTACCCCGCCACACAAGCGCTGGGTGACTCTGACTCCAAGGCGGCCGTGCTCAGCTTCCCCGCAGCCTGCTTGCCACGCTGGGCTTGGCTTCGCGTAGCTGCACGTGGAGCTCGTCCACAACTCTGGCACCCTCTGTTTCCTCTTCTGCTTTATTTCCCTTCTCACACAGGGCGTGCTACGTGAGTTTTGGGCACGTAAAAAAGGGGAGGCTGAAGGATTGAGCGCCTTCATGGCTGTCACTGTTCCCCTGACTGGCTGCAGAGGAGAGCGGTTGCTGGAGGGACGAGTCAGTGCAGCACCCAATCACTAATTTGTTGATAAGAGGATAGTTTTGAATTAGCAGACTCAAGATACAAAGTCAGGTGGTCACCGTGTGAAATATCTGGGGGGCGTTTCACAACACGAGAGCAAGGGCAGGAGAGGTTATGGCAGCAGCCTTAAGCTTGGTATCTGCGGCAGCTGTCATCTTTTTCTGAAGGACCTTGGGCTCACGGTGGCTCTC